CAGACAGCATCAGGACCTGCGTAACAGGAAATGTGATTATATTTGCATATTGACGATGTAACCTATAAAAATAAACAAATACTGCAGTACGGTGTGACTCTCTGTCTGAGTTTCACCCGTGCCGCACGTTATCAGTATCAAGTGTCTCAGTGTTGTTTATTCACCTGACCGTTTGTTAACTGTAAATCTCTGACAGTCAGAATTACCATTATTACTTTCACATAAAGTCAGGGCTGACCCGGGACCATTGCTGTCAGTCACACTGCACAGGATAAAGGCCCTTTCACATCAGACGTGGCATTCGCTGCGCTCACAGCTAACTAAGAGCAAAGAATCCACAATTTGTGTTGTGCTGGCTGCTGCGCTAGCTTTTATGTTGTTTTCTTGTGGCTGCTCTACGTGTACTAGATGCACCTGCCCCTCGTCGTTTCAAAACGTATCTCTGATTTTATATCCTCTATGACAGTGTGTGTTGTATTATGTTCACGTTTTTAAGTAAAAACATGAATCACTCGATCATAACTAAGAAAGCTTTGTAACTATCCCGACTAGCGAAGAGTGTGTCATTTCCACAAAAGTGCTTTCCTCCCCGAGGCCCACAGAGCCGTTGAAAAAACTGTGGAGGTCCCTGCACGTACACCTGTGACAAAAAGTTCACCGAACTCAGACACGCACAGAATGTTTTCCTTTGTGGTGATGAAGGAAAACGCTGGCACCTTTGACCTTCCAGGACCTGAACCTCAGTAAAGAGTCCCTCCCACCGCCAAACCCATTTGTTCTCTGATTGGATAGCTAAATTTGTGATTGACATGACACTGACCAGTCAGCTGAAAGGAAGAAAAATCGGGTCAAAATTTATACTGCAAGTTGAAAGTTACACACAGCCAAGGAACGTGAGTGCAGAGTTTTGTTTGTATCTGTAAGCAGACATTAACAACAGCAAAAAAAGTAACTTGTGTAAATGTTTTTACAAACAAATCTTTTTCTTTTTCTTAACACAC